ATAGAAACATACATTAAAAATGTCCTAAACCCCCCCTATAAATTTTAGCCCTAAAACCTTCCAGATGCTGGGGGGGGAACCAAACCCATCACCCCACCAGCCATCTCCACAGATGCAAGCCCCCATCCGGCCCCCAGGCCTTCTGGCAGAGCCAGGATTTAACCCCTTTTCTGAAGACCATGAGGGAATATGCATTAGATATCACATTTGATTATGATCAGAGATCCTTCCTCCCTAATACAGATTAGGGATATTAAATTTAAATTTAATGTTTCTGTTCATCTTAAAAACTTAATCATACTGGTGTCAATAGAATTAAAAACCCAGAGCATTAAAAAGTTGAATAATGCATATGATTAAATAACATTGAAAGTCCACTGTGCATGCCAAACTAAAATTACAATAAAGTCTGAAAAATCAAAAACTAGTGTAATTTTCTCCTAAAGTGGCCATAGGTAATTAAATGTAGTTGGCATTATTTGGCTGCAAAAGAAGCACAACCCTCAAATTTTCTTCCAAAGATAGATGGAAGAGAATAACAGATGCAGAAGAGGCGACAAGCAACCAGTGTTAAGAATGCACACCGACTCTGGGAAAGAACACTGTTAAATGAAGAAATAAATCCAGGACTCTTCTGAATACTAGCTACCACAAGTGCAGCTGAAATCTATATTTAGGAGGACACTAACCTCAGCAATTTTGATTTCTAATTTAAGCACTGACTTCATGTCCAACTCTGCATGTGAAGCGTTGGCACCCAGAAGGACTGCGGTATCAACCATGAACTGGAACAAGGCGTCTCTGTACTACAGTGGGGTAAGAATTCAGACATCATTACAGCCAAAAAGTGAACAGCTCAAAGCAAATCAACCAGATAACACTTCTTACCTTATTTCATACTGAACATTATTTACTTATTTTCATTTTTAATTTCAGGAACAGTGTTGTGTTTGATATTATTTAACAGGTTCTGTAAATCTTGCTACCAGAATTAGCATTACCATCATCACAAACATTAATTAGCATTCCAATTTGCACTAATGAGCACACATTGAGAAAGTGGATCACTAGCCTTCTTCAAAAATGTGGTTTTCAAAGCATATTGAGGAACCGGGGACATGCTCTTCATCTGCACTTCCTTTATCTTTCCATGTAATCAAAAAATATCTGTCCACATATTCAGAAAACTAAGCACAAGAAGAGAACTGTCAACTCAGTCTTGCGCAATATATGAATGATTACAAAATTTTACCCAGCAAGACATCCTTGGTTCCTGCTCATAAATTAACAAAGAAGATTGTGTTGCAAATAATGGTCAAGACTGAAAAGGAATAGGGTCATGGAACAGGGCAGGGTTCTACTGATAATAAGGAACTGACACTGGTTAATACTGGTCATGTTTATTGTGCAGAGTAGGGAGAATATGTTTGAATATGTTCAAATATTCACTCCCTATATCTCTCTTTTTACCTTCCCCCACGTTTACCTGCTATGCTGGGAATGATCTGTAATTATATACAGTAAGTGACAGGCTATATGTGCTCATGTAATTAAGATTTCCTTTCCGCTTTCCTTTCATATGGTTTATGTAAAATTTTAGCAGAAATATCATCATTATACTCTATACAGAAGAATTAACCCTTAGCTTCCCAACCTGGCATCTTGCAGATGTGCTTGGATTTCACTCCCAGAATTCAGCTAGCTTTGGGGAGTTGTAATTCCACGTAGGCTGAGAAAGGCTGGGAAAAAATCCTGAATGTACGATGAGCTATTAGGTGATTAAGTAAATAATACTCACAGATTTAGCTTCTGTGGTATTGTCCAGATAGTCTTCCCGTGCTGATAGAGTCAGAGATGCTTGGTCTAACTATTTAAAAGATACAAATAAAATAAGAATTACTATATATTAGATTTACAAAAACACAATTTGGATTGCACACTTCAGAGATAAACCCAAAACTCTTAGTAAGACTTACATATGAGTAGATTTGCATAAGGGTTGCAATGCCAAATTCCAGTGTAGTATTAAAAGTTAAGAGGGAAAAAAATCAGGATACATAAAAATGTCTACAAAAGCCTTTTATTTTAAAAAAAATCAAAGGAAGATTATATTAACACTGGATGTTGTGCATTTTTGCTGAAATCAATATGTAGACACTGAGGAGTTCTAATTTTACAATACATTTTTTGCTTCATCCCAAAGTCATGAATGTCTCACAGCAATTTAATCTAAGAACCAACGTGTGTCTTCAAAAATTAAGCAGAATATAGTAATGTACTTTCGGTAAAGCAGATTGCTGAAAATCAAATTAGAAATGACTGTAGAATGCCTTCAGGAATACTGTTACATATATTGTCTAACTTTTAGTCATTTACATATATACATACTAATAAACAGATGTCATGATGTTGTTGAACACAGATGTAAAAGGTTTATAATTCCTGTTAACAAAATTAGCTGAAGGGTGGATAAATATGAGTTAAACACAGACTTAAAATATGCTATGCTTTTTTGCATATGTAGTTAAGGAAGGAATTATTTGGGCTACAAATAAATAATTTCATTTGATTTTAAAATAAATGAACTCAAAAATTAAGACACAACTTCAGGCCCTCTAGCTCACACCCACGTGTATCACAAAATTGCATTTCTTTTTCCTTGTTAAATGTGGAATGCTAGATGGCTAACTAAAAACTTACATCCTACCTGCCTGGCTTCCTTAACTGTAGCTTTACTGTATATAAATGTATATATAAATTGAATAACTAAGTAAATCATACATCTATGATGGGCTTATTATCTATAGGTTTGTCCATTTGTTTCTACCATTTATATACCATTGTAATCTACATGGACTCCTAGACAGCATTATAATTAAGACAACAATACAATTATAATATGTTACGGGCCTAGCACTAGCATACAGTCATCATCCCAAATGCTTTCTGGAAATGCTGTTTTTACTAGCTTGAAGAAGAGGGTTAGGGTGGGCGCTGATTTGACCTCAAGGGGAGACTGTCACATAACCCAAGGGCCACAGTGAAAAAGCACTGGCGGTGATACATAAGGGCCCCGTCCCCAATCACTTTGTCACTGAGGCCATTAACAGATTTTCTCAGGTAGTGTACATCAGATCATTCAATTCCATATGGAAAAGGCGAACCTGAAGGTACCAGCAGCCAAGCCATATAGGGCTTTTGAAGTTAAAATAGCACTTTGAATTGCACTTCAATCAATGCAACATGGCTGTTACATGGCTATCATGGTTCCCATTCACCAACAAGCAGTGTTTCTCAGCCTTGGCTGGGGGATTCTGGGAGTTGAAGCCTACACATCTTCAAGCTGCCAAGGCTGAGAAACACTGATCTATAGCTTCCAGGTGGTCTTTAAAGTCAGCCCCATTTAAAGCACATTGCTGTAGTCCAGTTGCCAGGATCTCCTGCTCCTGGAGATGGAATACTAAATAATAAAATGAAATTAATTGAAATTAATTGAAAACTTAAATGCCACCTGCATGACTTCCTTAACCATACCTTTATGATGTGCTCATTAGAAGCCTTATCATCTGAAGCCACATATAATCGGATGAAAACAGAATTGCTGTATTGACCACGGAGAGTAGCAAGGGTCTGGAGCATGCTAAACTTCCTTTCTGACCACAGACCTTCAGGCCCAATGTTTGATTCCAGCACAGGCCAACGGAATGGAGAATGTTTCAGCATGTTTAGAAGCGGCTTTGCATCCGCTTTCTCTATCTTATCTGGGAGAATGAAAAAAATTCAGTCAACATAAGGCAACTTCCAAAAAATCCACTTCAAAAGTACCTATGATCTGCCTGTCTCTTGTTAGCAACAAAAACATGCTTCCTTATCATTCTGTGTATTTCTCTACATCAAGTGAAATGTCAGTTAGAACCATAGATCTAGGCTAAAAATGAGCCACTTTGAATAGTTTGTCTTGACACAGATAGCAGAAGAAATGTACTCTCTTGCCATCTGTCTATTCAGGCCATGACTACTGTTCAGCCAGTGGAAACCTTCAGAAGAAATACAAATCATCCATGTTTTTGACTCAGTATGATGTATGGCCAGGTAGTCCACTGCCTGGCCAGCATGTACCAGATCATGGCGCTTTTGTATGGCACTACTGGAACCCTTATTAATTCTGACCATTGCTGTACATAATGGGAGAGGGGGAGGCAGTCTACCTCTACTTCAAGCTGCAAAATGGCTTGTACTGGTCCTTTACTAAAGGACTGTTTGTAATTTACAATTTCTAGGTTTCCTACAGTGGTTCCCACATTCAATTAGATGCACAGTTCTGGATAAGGGAATACCTGTTTCATAATAATACTTGTCCAAAAAACCTTTAAACAGTAATAAGAATTAATAATGTGATCTGAATATTAAAAAGTTAAATACAATTTTGGATGGCATCAACAATAGCATAATATCCAAATCATGGGTGTCAGACCTCAGTCCCTTATTCTGGAATTGACTTACTGTATTGGTCAGAAGACCCTCAGTCACAACTCAGCTGTATTTATCTTCTTTTGCTGACAAGAATGGAACCATATACAAACAGTTTTGCCTATAAAGCCTCTGTCTTCCTGGATTTAAATTCTAGGGTTGATCTTCTCACCTTTGAGTCAAAACATACTTGGAGGGCCTTGGGGCACCTGATCTATGTTGACATAGCGATTTTTCTCTAATCTGGGAACCATCTGTTCTTGTTTCACTAGCTTTTTCCTTACCCTGTCTCCCCCCCCACTCTCTCTGAGCTTGAAGTTAACAAGTGCTTCTACTCCTTCCTCTTTCTTGTTAGTAGCTGACTGAAAGCATTTCCATTCCTTTGTCAGCTAAAGGTGATGAGAACTCTCTCCTCTGATTTATGAATCATAAACCTTTGAAAGACAGGCTGCTCACAGGCTGTTGCTGTATATTCAAGTTTCTCGTAATTAGAATCAAAGGCAATTAAATATTTATGACCCTCTTTCAAAATTGAAAGTTCCACTGAGATCCAATTTCATAAAAATCTAGGCATTCTGCAACTCTATTGTAACAGTTCTGAACTGAAGGAAAGATGATAGCAACTTCTAATGTTTGCACAGTTCGGGAACTGACAACCATGGACTACATGTAGGGAGACATCTTTTTTCTTGACAAATGTGATATTGAACGTAAGAGCTAGCTATCAATAGTCTCAACTCTAACAGAGGGTTGTCAGGCTGAGTGAGCGGAATATATTACGTGAAACGGAGGATTCAGTGAAGTTCTCCACGATGCTAGCATTTACTAAAGACTACAGTTGTATTTCAGGACTATTCTGGGTTTGTAGAAAAGTGACAATGTGTAAATGTCAACGAATAGCTTCACATATCTGGGTTTCACTTAGTTTCTGAAGCCCAATCCCTGGAAACTGCGACTCATTTCTCAACAATGCAGATTTCGAACATGTAGATCATTTGTTTGGAAAATACGTAGATCATCTGCTTCGAATATGTAGCTCATCTGTTTGGAAAATCATCTGCTCGTGGGTCCTCCCCACAAATACAATATTTTGTTTATTGATTAGAGGGTGTCTTAGCAGGGCATGTATGAAGTGGCCCAGATGTCCATAATATGGTCATAAACATTTTCTTGTGCAGATAGTTCAATTTCCCAAGGGTCATATGTGCAGGTGGCATCTTCCCTTTCTGTTTATACTGTACCATAATTCCTCTAATTCCTTTTGTGCTACAAAAAACCGCTCCTCCAAAATCAAAGGATAGAAAAAAATGTTTGAACAGAAATGTAGCCAGTATAATCAGGGTGCTTTATTCCAGCACCTATCAGATCTCTTGAGGAAGAATAATCTTTTCCACCTTCTCTGTGCCAAAGCTAAAATTTCTGTCATATAATCTTTCTCTCTTCCTTTTATTTTGTTTCTTCCAAAGAGTTAATTGAACCATCATAGACAAAGTGTTAAAATTCTAAAATTTGATTTAACATCCTTCATTATTCTGATACCTCATTATTTGATATTAGTTCTTCTTCCCCAGTCTTTCTATGTGAATCATAATCCTTCAATCCTTTCTTTTCTGCCTGTCTAAAGTGTTAATTAAATAACTGCCAATTCTATCCTAATGTGGCCATGAACCTAGTATACTTTTATAATAAGCCACTTATTCAAAAACCCTATCTTAATCCCACTACTGAATATTCCTGAAAATACCATTGTCAGTTACCAATCAATCTTGTATTTCCTGGTATGTTATAATACATTTGTCATTAATACCATCTAGCATAACAAGTGTAAACTAGAAAAGGTTACATTAAAGATTATATATCCCTTAGATGTACATGTTTCATACACAAATATCAGTAACAGCCTGTGGCAATATATAGTTATTTAAGTGACAATAATATTGGATAGATTGAAGGGCAATCAGAAAAAATGCCCCATTGCACATACCTGAAGTATAAAATTCACTGCACATGCACATTAGGATCTTCTAAATTTGTTTGAATTAATTTTAGTACATCTTTCTTCTCCTAATAGAGATTAACAATTTGTGTACCATATAGTTGCCAACAGTACAGAAATAGTTACTCACTCTCATTCATACATGAAGAATAAAGTATCTTGGCCTTCTGTACAGCTTCACTGTCTCGTCTTTTGCTGAGAGGTTTTTCAAGGAGAACTGTAAAAGAATAGAATACTTTTTTCTAGATGTTTATTGTTATCAGAAAACAAATCAAAATGTAGGTAAGATGCCTGAATTCTTGGGAACAATTGTGTAACTTAGGATTGGCTGCCATGGACATTTTTGACTGAGGGACTCAGAAAATGTTAAATTACACATGGTGACAGATGTTCAAGTTTCAGTGAATGTTACACTCTCTTCTAGAATGTCTTCTGTTCACATTAGACACTGAAGACACAAGCTGAATAGCTCTCTCTTACTCTTGAACAAAAATGGAAACTCTAATACTATCTTGCACTGTAGAATACTCCTATTTAGAATTTTAGTAGAGCCAGCAATAATTATATCACATCAGATACATTTTCACATTTTATTTTATTGGTGAGAAATTGATGATGTTGCTAATTGAATTGAGAATTTTTGGGAAGAGCTTCATTTGCTCACCAGTTCTTCTGTGATTATTCCATCCAGATAATAATAGGATATTGCTCAGTTCCTTACATTGTATTATATATTGCATTTACTATATAAAGGATTAAGCCAGAATCAAGAATTCTAATTACAAAACATTTCCTTAAAGGAAGAAATCTCAGATAATATTTAATCCACACATTTTAAAACAGAATGAGCGTGTACACAATAGTGACAAAATAAAGGAAGGAGGAAAATGGTTGTTATTGTGTTCTGAAACATAAATAAGGAAAGAACATCTAAGTGTTTTTTTCCTTTCCTAAATGATTGAAATACCAAAGGAAGCATATCAGATTTCCCATAATTAACCCTAATGAATGGCCACTCTAGAAATGCAGGGCTTGATCTGGCAAAGCTAAAACTATGCCTGAGGAACAGTGAGTTTTTCTCCCCCATTCTTCTAAGTCAAGTAAAATAACTACACACAAGGACATTACATATTTTGAAAGAAATGTAAAAGTCAATTATCTTGATCACTTTCTTTAGCTGCCACCTTCATTTCCCTGAAACCATTCTAAAAGTTCCGGGGGGGGGGGTTATTTTGACCTAATTATCTATAACACACTCCAACCAGGTTGACTCAAGCCAGGATATAGCTGGAAACAGGAAATGGAAACAGCAGGTGCCGAAGTCGGTGGTAAAGTGAGCTCCGGAGCAGTGAAATGCCATAATTTGTCTCATTAGTCATCTGCGTACTCCAATGAAGGTTCAAGGTGTTCATGCCCTCTCTCTTAAGCTGTCCAAATTCTGTAAAAGGCTTTTAATTCACATAACTAAGCCTGCCAGAAAGGTTTAAAAGGCAAAGAGACATCCATAGCTGACTGCCTTTTTTTTTTTTTTACCTAGTTTGACAGAAAGCATACAGCAAAACCTGACTGGTGCAAGACAGTCAGACGGAATAGCTATTCAACCAAATTTGAAACTAATCTATATGAAGAACACATGACTGCAGGCAAGAATTACAATAAAAAGAAATAATGGAATATAGTAGAGTGTGTGGAATTGAGGAATGGGAAGATCCAGATATAAACTTCTTTTCCAGCAGAAAGTTCACTGGCTGATCCTGGTCACTTATACTTTCTCTCACTCCTGTTTACTTCACAGGTTAGTTGTAAGGTTATGGAAAAACCCATGGTTCCCTGACCATGAGATATATGTAATCAATAATAGTCAAGTTAGTTTCTACTTTCCTCCACTATCCAGCTATTTCTCAAAAGCATTCCTATTCAGTATAAGAATAGATCAGTGTCTTTTCCCTCAATTACGATTTCTCTACTTGAAATTGCATTTTGTCTTTGAATTTGAATCTGAGATAAGGATGAATTGGATGCAGCAAGAAAACAATGAGGGAAAGGAAGAGTCCTGTCCTCTGCTCCAGATCACCTTACAAAGGTGCAGTTAGATCTTTAGTGCATTTAGGATACACACTATCAGTTTAGGACCTAAACCTAAATAGATGCACTGTCATCCTAAGAGTAAATAGCAATCATACCCTGTTAAAATGAAGAATATCCTACACTAAAAGCTACGTACTCCTACAGGATTCTTTTCTTTTAGAAAAAGAACTATTTTGAAACTGACTAACTATATATTTGTGGTAAAGTGTTACCTCTAATCTTACTTGCTATTTCTAGCTCCTGCCATTTTCCCAGCCTACAGTCATAGTTTCATTCAAGGTTTTTGTACCCTTCAGCTTCCTTCACAAATTTAACTTCTTCCATTTAATTTGTGAAGGAGAAAAAGAAATCCTACCTACGAAAATTCAGAGCTAAAATACTTTGGCTGTGATCTTGTCATATCCAGAGTAGAAGTGGGTGGGGTAGAGTAAGAACGTTACTATTTACTGGGATTAAGCCAAAACCTTTCCTCTCAAACTGTGTCCCCTGAATCAACATTACCTCTCTTTCTTCTTTTCAGTAATTCTGGGTCTGTACTTTGAAGATATTTGCACTGCTTTAGCATTGCCTCCTTGATGCCATTTTTATTTGGCAGGGGAAATTGTTTTTGGCATTCACTGTCATTCCATGTGGTTATGACACCATGGAAAATTATTGACAAGCATCCATTACATCTATGAATCAATACATTTTTGAGAAAACATGGGTTGCCATATTTATAGGAGTAAAATGGCCACAGAAAAAAGGGCAAAGAAAAAGGTGGAAACTGACCAGGGAAACCAAAGGAGATGAAAAGGATTGCTTAGTAAGATTTGCATATGAGTGTGTGATGTACATTCTCTTGCCTTAGAAGCTAAATGTACGACTTTTGAAGAAAACACTGAGTTAGGAAGTATTAGTTACAATTTATAATTTATTCACAAGAGGGCCAGTTCAGGTCAAACCCCGTTTTCAGGGTTTATTGCCAGACTCTAAGTAACAGAGCCCACTTTCTTCACCTTTGGGAGGTAAAACCTTAACCCCAACATCTTGATGGGGCAAAACTGTTAAAATTCTCCAGAATTTGATTAGAAAATCAGTCAAAACATTTTTAGTACTCTAGGCCTAGAAATCAATGGGCATTCCAAACAATGGCCCTCTTGTTCCCTTGTTTTTCACCCCAGAATAGCTGTTATTGACTATACAATTTGCAGAAAAATTAGTCAAATGGATTATTATTACAAATTTTTTGAAAGCAACAATCCCCTCATGAGCAGTTGATATATAACATCTGTATCTCTCTGCTGTGATGGCTTAGGGGAAGGTGAGAGCAGCTGAAAAATCAGTTAATTAAAATCTGTTACCTTCCCCCAATTTTTCTTTCTTTAAATAAAATCTGTGCTGCTTAGGCAACTGATTAGCAGAACAAAAAGCTAATCTTCTTTTCTATTAGCACCTCTCTGGCCTAAAAATATACAAATCATATAGGCAAGCACAAGTTGTCCTTTCTGTTCCTACAAGCTTTTTAGAAATGTTTTCAATTATTTTTTTAAACACTCCTTTAGCCATTTTTCTATAGGCTCTGCCAGGTCATTGACTTAGCAAGTTCAAGCAACAGATTTATCATGTTGTAAAAATGTGTTTATTTATAGCTGCCTACCAGTCACAAGCCCAGCAGAAGCAACTGTGTTTCTCTTTGCCGATGTGGCTGCTGGCTGCAGAAAAGGGAGAGTCTGCTGGTGCTGATTAATTGCATTAATAACATTAAAATTACAATGACAGGGCACATCAGCATACACAAAGCGCACACCCACCAACCAAAGCGAAACAGAACAGTCCAAAGCAATACAGAATCAGTGCATTATTAAACGTCCCTTGAAAGTTCAACATCGACAACCAAACTAACCTTGTAACATTGTACTAGTAACTTGCATTTACCACAACCTGAGTTGCATTATAAATCATTCCCAAACCTGTGAAGGCACATTCAGTACTTTGACTGTACTACCAGGCTTCTGCCTGGACCTCTTTCTACAAAAGCAGAACTGAGATCCAGAACAGCTCCTTACTGAGACATGGGGTACTTATTGTCTGCTGCTTTGTCCTAAATCAGTGTTTCTCAGCCTCGGCAACTTTAAGACGTGTGGACTTCAGCTCCCAGAATTCCCCAGCCAACTGGCTAGGGAATTCTGGGGGTTGAAGTCCACACATCTTAAAGTCACCAAGGTTGAGAAACACTGCCTAGATATACCTTTTTATAGATAAATTTGAAAGCATGAACAAAACAAGAATGATACGTGGAAGCCACAAAACAAACTTTCAGGAGAAGAATAAAAAGTAATACTGCTTGAAATTGTCCTACTTTGTTCTGATGTCAAAACATTTTGAACATCTTTGTCAGCACATGGTTGATCATGCTGTGGCTCAGAACTTAAGGAGGGTCAAGCCTGGTTAATTATCAGGATAGTACACTAGACTGCAAAGTTTAAGAACCATCTCAGAAAAGCCAACAGCAAACTTGTGTGAAGAAATTTGTGAAGAAAGACAAATCTACAAAGTCACTGGTAGTCTTGCTCAACTCAAAGATGATATATTTTTAATACTAGCCAGATTTGCATTTTATGTATCTATTACACATAAATTAAATGCAGGACACGTTGTTTTATGCGGCTTCTCTAGGGCAGAATGACTTTTCCTTTGCCTGTAATAGGCCTGGCATCAAATCCCATAAAAGATAATCCAAAGACAATACTGGGATAGCATTTTCTGGGTTTGGATTGTAGCTCATTGGGAGAACACTATTGCATTCAGAAGGGTCCATAGTTTGGTGCCAGGATCTTAAGTCAGGCTGGGAAAGTAGTCTTTTTGAATCCCCAGAGAACAGCTACCAGCCAATGTAGATGATACTGAATTAAATGGACCAATGATCTGTGTTCCTTTCAGGCAGATTCCCATGACCCTTGTTTTGTTCAATGATGAGTTGCTAAAGTAGGACCTACATTTTTTAGAAACCCTCAAACTTAGGGTTGTGGCTTTTTTTCCCCAGGAAATCATGACTTGACAAACACACAGACCTTAATTATAACATTGCAACAGTATACTAGTACATTCCAGAAAGGATTATAGTCCAAGCTCCAAAAACAAGGATAG